GGAATACAAAGTTCGAAGAAAAGTCATATAGATGGCTTGTTTATTAAGCTCATGAACTTGCTGAAGACCTCCGAATATCAACGTTACTTAAATGACACTTATAAAACTCATAAGTAGTAATAATGTTTTAATTTATTTAATAGTTGTAACAAATGTTTGAGTCAACAAAAGGAAATATTAGCTTTATCGATTTGCTTTTTTGTAACATTTACCTATAAAACATGATATATGGGAATCAAACATCTGACAAAATAAGTAATGTTCTCAGCAGATAACGTTCATAATGAAATGCTTAGATTTCTCTTATTGATAATAGACGACTTATGTAAGGTTTAAATTGCCTAGAGTCTCATGTGATCTGCTTGGCTTCCAACACTCCACGAACTTCTCAAAGCTTTTTTAGCCTATAGCGTCGTTCACAAGTGCAACTCCTATAATCTCTGAAATATCAGTGAAATTCGGACTGAATTGCAATCTGCAAGGATTTTCTCCATGATTGCGATCAAACACAAGCCGTACTATGATAGATTGTAATCGAAATTACCATCCGATTTTTAATCGGGATTAGATCCACAAGATTTTTAAACTTTAATCGATTTTAATCTGTAAAATTTTTCACTAGGCGGTTCGCAATGTCTTGAGAAAGGGTGCACAAGCAAGCGCGCTCATAAGAAGAAGCTACAGCCACAATCGATACCTCACTCCATCACCACAGCCCTAGTTTCTATTACCAATTCGAATTCGATGAAATTTTATCTTTTACTTTTTTTTGTGTCAAAGTAACATGAGTGTCCGTTTTTTTATTTTCGAATTGATATCATGTAGTGGAAGCTTTTTTTATATTCAAACTCGAATTAGACATCTCACATCAAAAACATCTCGACAAGGCTCTCCTTATTCTTTAATAAAAGTAAAGCAAGCTGAGCAAATCGCAAACATTATCCATAGACAAAAAACAAAAGGTTAATTGACGAGTATTCTTTCTCTTCATCTTTTTCGTCGAAAGTCAATGCACTTTCATATAGTTCGGTGGAGTAACAGCTTTCTCTTGCGTAAATCAGTGCGATAAGTAAACAACGAATGACGCACTTTTTTGACTAGCAATAGTGGGTATTTTCTCACTTGGAAACACACACAAACACAACGCAGAATCAGTATTCGGGTGAAATCAAGTAGAATCTGGAAATCCTAATAATGATACTATAGAATGATGTGCAGACTAACAAGTAAAATTAATAACAAAAGATGTTGCTATTAGAGAAAACATGGTCAACTTTTAATGACCATATTCAGAAGATTTTTTCCCGTTAGAATATTAGAGCTGAACGCTGCTTGTATAAGTCAGCTTCGACGATCACAGCATTAAGGATCAAGTCACTATAATATAGAAATTTAATACAGAGGAGGAATATAGATACATCATACTCATACCTACACCCACAATTCGACAAGTAGTCTTTTTTTTATTCGTCATGGTGGTTGATCGTGTTGTGATAGCTTCACAGAGATTGAAAACTATAATTTTGGCATTGGTGGTTTTCAATATCAATGCGTTAACCCTTTCATTACCGACATTTTCTTGCGTTCTGCACATACACGAAGAAAAATAGCTGAATCTCTCTCTCTTGCGTTCTGTCGTCACAATCAGCTGTGTTTGAGATCTAGTATCATTATTGCTAGCCATAAAAAAAAGACAAGAACTTGCTGTTGTAAAAAGAGTCACGTGTGATGAACAAATTGAATTTGAAAAGGCTACAGTCTTGAAGAAAACAAGCTATTTCGTACATAAAAAGCACTTCGTTGCTATTGAGTAGTCAAAATGTCATATAACGAGGAAGATATTTTCGAACAAGATGATGAAATAGATCAGTATACAAAAGCTCTCGACGATTCCGATATTGATGATATTGAAGATGATATGAAACCAGTCGGTAATATTGAAAGTGAAGAATATAGGTGATAAATAAAAATTTTTCCACAAGAATTCACGAACTATACTAAATTCTAGTGATGATGATGCAATATATCAATCAAGTCGAATATTACAATCTTTGAAGAACACGAACTCAAATCTTACTAATAATGAGAAAGAGTGCACACAATTCAAAGCCGAGGAAAGTGAAGAATATAGGTGATAAAACAGTTCGTATGTCGCATAATCTCTAATTACACTATTTTACAGCGATGATGAGAATAGATATCCATCAAAAGTGACAATAACAGCAGCAGGATGTACGAAAAAAGAATTTGAAGAGAAATGGACATTTGTTGTACCAGAAAATGATTGTCGATCTAAATGTTTATCTGATTTCAATGAACCACCAGGACCTACTTTCACTGTTCCAGTATGTCCGGTACCCTCGGACTTTTAGAAAAAAATGTTGCCTGAGTCTCTGTTCAGCCACATTGCAGAATGCACGAATCTTCGTGCCCAACGACACTTCGCAAATATACTCACAAAGAATGATAAACCTTGGGGTGAAGTGAGATAAATTCAACTTGTAAATGATACTATATAAACGTATTTATCTAGATTACTTGTAATGAGATAAAAAAAATTTTTGCAATATGCATACATATGGAAATGATTCGAAAACGACGTATACTCGATTATTGGTCGACTGATCCTCTATTGAGCACACCAATCTTTCATTCAAAAAATTATTTATCTCGTAATCGATTCTTTGAAATACTTCGGTGAGAACAATGAACATTTGAAAAAAATATAAAATTATTTTACTTTAGTTTTTTGAGATTTGCAGATTATGAAAAAATGGTGGACAGCGATAGATTGAGAAAAATACGACTTTTTTTGGAAATAGTTCGAGGTCTCTGCCTCTCGATGTACAATCCTCGAAGAAATGTTGCTGTGGATGAAACACTCCTCCTGTACAAAGGAAGAATAGTGCGTAAAAAAATTTGTCATTACAATTTCCAGTTGTTCATGTCTTCAAATTAGAGTTTCAAACAATATAATCCACGTAAGCGTGCACGTTTTGGAATAAAAACTATAGCGCTTTGTGATTCTACCAATGGATTTCTGCATAACTTCGAAGTTTATACAGGACAAGGTGAAAGATTTTCTTTTCTGCTTCCAACAGTCTCTTTTTTTGTAGGCACAAACACTTGGGCTGAAAATTTTCCTGATGCTCAAGGGTTACCTGTTTCTGAAAGAATTGTGGCACATATTGCTGGTCATATTCTGAATAAAAACCATTGTATTTATGCAGATAATTGGCTCATTAGTGTGCGTTTAGTGCGATGGATGATTGAACATGGGACGACAGTGACAGGCACAATTAAAACAAATCGAGGTGACTTTTTGTGTACTCAAAAAGTGAGTACACTACTAAAATCGGTCAGTGTGTCCGGCCGTCCGTCCGTCCGTCCGTTTATCCGATAACTTTCGAAAGGGGAGTCCGATCGCGATGAAATTTTCTACACAGTTCAGTCTTAACAATATCTCGGTCGAGTTCGAAGTTGAGAAGGATTGGCCGAGCCCTTCCTGAGTTATTGCAAAAATACTCATTTTTTCCTGCACCTTCCCTATGGAAAGATCGACCCATCCCCACTTTCGTAAAAGACTTTTCCTATCATAGTCAACTAAAACCCCAACTATTATATACCATTCGATAGAGAATTTCACGAGCTACAAAATGGTATATAAAACATAAAGAAACAAGAAGGTTGGCTCATCTATCACAAAGATAATTAAAGAGAACTAGGTTATATTTTTGTCCACGATCTAATTGATCCACAAATAGAGCTCTATCTTCCGATCACAGTGATGATACTTCGAGGTTTTCTGAGATGGAGAACTTGAATCTGTATTCCACTTCCATCGAAATACTATTGGTTGAGCAGTGACCAATAGAAATCAAGTTATAGGAAAAACGACTTTCTTAGGGTAAATCAAGGGGAAGAGTTCAAATTTGAGCTGTATTCGGTCCCAAGTCCTATTGGTTTGGCAATACTCAATAGAAATCAACAGTTTAGAGGGTAGGTTCCCCAGTATAATTTTGATGTCCACACGTTCTAGAACGACTCATCTGTCTCATTCACTTTTTGAAGTACACATAACTCTCGGATTTAAATCCGAAGTTTCCGCATTTATTTTTCATACTATCTGAGGAAACTCATGTTTCAATCAAAGACTACTTCGTTTTCTTCTTATTTCTTCTCTTGTTGTTTTATTTGATCTTACACTTATAACAACAAAGTTATAAACAAGCTATAAGTTTTTGCAGAAGTCAGACAATTGTACATAATATTTATCCGCTTCTTTGACCACAACAAGTTTGCCATTTTTCATAGTCTTGACCTGTTGATAATTGCGAGTATTTTCCGGATATTGTTTCCGAATGAAATCGTTGAGTTGCACCGGAAACACATATGTTTGACCAGGATTGCGTATGTGAAGAGCATCAAGGTACCAAGAAAGACTTTTGTACATCTCTTTTCGACGATTTGGATCAGAACGATGGGCAGAACTTTGATCGATTCGGTCAACCAACTCTATAAAAAAAAATTGATAATTATTCTTAATGATCTAGCAATATCTTTCAGATTTCTTTATGAAATTTTTAAAACTTTTCCGTCGAGATGACGATTTCGATAATCGTCATAAAAACATAAAAAATCTGCTTCTAATTTTAGAAATGAATTTCTAAGAAAATCACAAATACAGAATTTCCATATTTTCATATTCAGACTAACAATTTTGGATGAAACTGTACACCTAATTTATGAGCATATTTACACAAAAAATGAATTTAATTGCTTTTTCAGTTAGTTCAATAGAAAAGTTCTTTACCGAGAAACTGAGTAGGTGTCATCAAATTTACATCTTGAAACATATCAATAATTTTTAATTAAAATGGAGTGTATCCCATGTTCGTTCTTTTATTTGGTGAAATATTTTCTTTTGATGTATCAATATTGTCTATTGAACGTTTGATAGATGAAGATGATGATGACGAAGCCATTAAATAAATAGATTGAATATTCAGTTATTGAATAAAACAACTAAAATCTCTTAATTAAATAGAAATAAGTACATGTGTTAGAAATAGCGATGAAAATATTGTTGCTTTCGATTTAGGAGTTCCAAAGGAATTAACAAGAAAAAAAATGAAGGCACCTGATTCTGCTTTCATACGAAGTGGTGAACTTCTTCTGGTGAAGTTCCTAGATAAAAAAGCAAGTGGTGAAAAAGAAATTTATTTGATTGATTCGAAAGGCATTGCCGGAGGTTCATTAGTGGAACGATACGAAAAAGGTAATGTTATATCAATTCCACTCGAATAACTGAAGAAAATTTGATTATAGGTGGAGTCAAGAAACAAATTTTAAAACCGAATAGCATCATCGATTATAACAAGAACATGGGAGGTGTTGATATGTCAGATAGTGCTCTTCATCACACATTCATTGATAGAAAAACGTATCGATGGGTTCGTTAAATTAGCTCTACACTTTTTCAGTCGACTCTTATTTAACTCTTATATCATGTACAAACAAACAAAATCGAATACTACGTTGAATGATTTTCTAATGAGGTACGGGTTAACGTAAACTAATAAAAAAAATATTTTATTTTTTGAGTTATGTGCGTGAGACAATGGAAGAAACGGGAATTGCGAGGAAATCGACGAGAGATTTTACGCCGAAACAAAAACGGTCCGCATCGTCGAATTTTGTTGATCGTAGTTCGAAAGTGGCAACGACAATTACTCAACATTTTGTGAGTGAGACTTCTTTATTCATCGAATACATTTCTATTTTTACTATGTCCTAATAACCTATTTTAGACAAAACTGATGTTAATCCTGAGTCGAATCGTCACAAGCAGAAAGAATGTGTACTTTGCCGAATGAATAAAATTCGGAAAATGACTATTTATCAATGTAAAACGTGTGATGGAGAACCAGGTCTTTGTTTTCCTGATTGTTTTGAAAAATTTCATCTTACTCCAAATAAAACATAAACAATAAACTGCAATAAAAAATATCATTGACAATTAGCATGAATCTCAAAAAAATGAAACAAGCGCTAAACATGCAGCAGTATATATCAATGACTGCCATTTTAATATCATTTAAGCCCCTCTTCTTTTTCTTGAAACATACCATATGATATTCGTCGTCTAAGAGGACGACAGAACGCAAAATATTTCTTTTCGTTCTGTATCACATCTACGAGATGTGATGCGGTAACGAAAGGGTTAAGTACACAAAAAAAGGAAAAAAAAGTAGTCTCATGATTTCTCTCTTAAAGATTGATTCAATAAAATAGTTTGTATTTATTGATAATCTAAATCAAGAATTGTTGACAAGCGTATTTTAATGTATAAAATAACTTGAATAGTTTTTTTTTTTTGATATAATAAGAACTGTGATAATAAAATTCTACAATCTTTGAACAATATCACAACCGAAAGCTTCTTCACAAGCTTTTTCAAAAGTTATCAATTTGTCAGTTTTTCCACTAAGAAACCAAATATGTTCAAAAGCATGACGTTGTTGAGTATTAAGACTATTATTTAGTGGTTGTGATAAAATCTTTGCCCATAATTTTACAATAGTTTGAATAGGATTTTGAAATGCTCCGCATCCAACAGGACCTATAATAAGATAAGTATCACTTCCATTTTCTTCAGTATTCGCTTGTGCAGAAGCAATTACAGTTTCTAATTTTTTTTGAGTATTAGCTTCAATCCTTTCGGAAGAACTTGGTACTTCATATAAACCATGTTCTCTTGTCAAATCGTAACAAGCAACAGCCACAATGTCAACTGTCCGTTGTTCTGTATGTTGTATCGGTTTGAAAAATTGAACATTTTTAATATATAAACAACCATATTCTGGAATCATGAAACCTCCGTCAAAACGTTTATATTTAAAATCAAGCAGAGCACCGTATGCATTTGAATTATAACAAATTGTTTCCTCTTGTGTCGAAGCACCATAAAGAAAAAGACCTATTCATATATTTAGTATTATAAAAAAAAACAAGACAAAAAGCAAATGTTTTACCGCCAGGCATTCTTTCATCGGCAAAGTCTAAAACGATAATTTGTTTTCCAGATGGAATATCAAAAACAGCTTTTTCAATTCTTCCTTGTTTTGTATTAATTTGACCTTTATTTTGACGCTGTGCAATAGGATATTTACGCATATTATTTCTTGCATCATCATCAAACGAAGCATATGATTCGAAATGTCCTTTTGGTGAAGGAATATTATCAATTTGTTTTGCATTAAAATATACTTTTAATTGTTCAAGTGGAAAATGACCATATTTATTTATTATCTGCCGAGCATTTTTAGCGATTGGATGAATATTATTTGAATGACTCGTTAACTCCCAATATGGTTCATATGTATCATCTCGACGTTCATCGAATTTCTTTTTATAAAAATCCAACTCTTTTAATTTATTTATTTCTTCTTTCAATTTTTCAAAATCTTTTAAACTGATATAAGATGATAAATCGAATCCAACTGATTGAATATGTAACAAATATTGCAATGCTGCTTTACGACCTCCATGTATATCAACACGTTCTCTATCTTTCGATAAACATAATTTAACAAGGCTTCCAATATTTTCTTCATATAAGGATAAAGAAGAAATAAAACTTGAAGACGACATTTCTTATCGAATGAAGACTTAGCCAATAAATAAATAACTAACAATGCCATGTTGTTATGTATGTTGTGACAACTCGCATAAAGAAAGAGAACGAATGAGATTTGGTGTTTTTTTTAAATATTAAAGTCCTGCAGATGGCCTAATATATCAATCATTCAGTAGTCAAAAATTTGAAACTTACAACTATTAAACTATCGAGTTCATCAATTTAAGACACTATGACCATCTAAGTAGTTATTAGATGGAGAATTGAAAGTGGACTTTTTGATGATTTGAATAGGGCTACAGGTGTAAGCTGATCAGCTGAACTACTAGGGTGTGAGGTGTGGGTGTGAGTATCAGTAAACAGAAGATCCACACGTACACTCACATTCACACCTTCTCCTTAGGCCTTCATATGTTGGTTTCCCAGACCAACAAACATTTGGCTGAACTCGCTTTGATCTACTTAAATTAAAGAGCACTTCTAATTACCTATGAGTGTATAACTTTTTCTGTTTTTCAAAAATGAATTTTGAAAAAAATAATATCATCTTAAAGATTTTCACATTGAAACGTTGACATATATCTGCTGTATGAATTAAAATGATTGTACTTTCTAAGAAAATACAATTTAGAATAGAAAAAACTACAATTTTCTAGACAGTTTGATAAGCTTTGTAGTCTACACAGAGGAAAATCAATTGTTGGCAAAGAGTTTGTTCGTCAAAAAAACCGGTGTTTTAGAAAACCAGCATATGAAGACTTAGGGAGATTTCTCATAGTCATATTCGGAAGCAGCATGGTTGATAATCTACAATTCACTAGCTTTCGATAAAAAAAAGGCGACGTATCAGTCGAAAACGTTCCCGCCTAATCTTAAGAATTTTGTCGAAAATCGTGTGGAAAAAAAAGAAGATGTTTCCCGTAAGCCTCTGGAGTGTCGAAATGTTCAACCCTCCTCGCTTACATTCAGATTTTTCCAGTTTTGCTGTACTTCAATAGAGCCATGCATTGCGCTCGGAATCAACGTCAGAATTACATCAGTAGAACAATCAAATTCTTGTCTTTTTAAGAAGGTTGATTTAAAGTTTGGCATTGATGA